AATAATTCAAAATAAATTATGACTAAATCATTCATAAACGATACATAAATCAAAATAGTGAAAATTATAAACCAATTATAAAAATAAATCACAAATTATTTATTTATAAATAAGAAAAAGTAGCATATTTATTATTAATAAAATTATAAATGTTGAAATAAATAAAAATATTAATGTAAAATCAACAGTTTCGATATTATGATTGGGCCAATATGTATTCATATTTATAAGGTGCAGCCCAGTTAAGTTAATAAGGTTGATGTGGACAATAGATTAAATTTTTTATCAGCCCACAATCTGATTAGCCCAAAAACAACTATTTTCTTAGTTTTTAAGGAACAAACTTGAAAGATGCATTTAATTTTTATGATAAACAATTTCTTAAATTAAACAATTTTATATATTAAAAAAAAGGTACAAATAACGTAGAAGTCAACTTTCTCTTTTGAGGGAGAGCTTTGCCGCCCTTGTGATCCTATCCGGCGATTCCGAATTAGTCAATTTCCATGTGGATCCGGAAACCGGAAGGTCCCTGTACCAAAAAAAAAAAAGTTTGACACGTTACTGAGGTGGCTGAGGTCACCGCATTCGTCATGTTTGTGTTCAAAATCCTGCTATTTGCTATTTTCAAGTAAAACAATTAATCAAATGGGTGGCCAGAGTAAAAATAAATGATGTTGTTAAGTTTTCTAACCATTGTTTAGTTGTAAAAACATTTATACTTGTAATATGAAATGTTTTATTTTATTGGACTTTAAAGTATGATTAAAGTATGATATTTGAATATGAATATATATATATATATGTGTGTGTGTGTGCGTCTGTGTGGTCGACTAATCATGAAACAATCTAACATAAGAACGGGTACAAAGTACATTGTGTGGTTTTTGGAGGACATTTGATTAAATTTTCTTTACCCTATTTCAATATAAGGTTATTGTTAGGTAGATCTAACGGTTAGTCAATTTTATTTTTCCATAAACGTTCACATTTTTCAAATATAAAATGTAATGCTTTCATGAATAACACTAGTGCGGTACCCGTGCGATGCACGATATAGTTTTAATAAGGTAAGCATTTAGATTTGGGTGAGTGGATGATTGGAAAAACGTAAAACGCATGTAATAAAATAAAACAAAATGTAACTTATACATTATTAAAACATCTTTGTACATAACATTATTTATTTGGTCTTTTGGTACATAGTTTATCGCGTTGAATAGCCAAATATAACAAAGATTGTAAAACGTCTTTCTTGACAATCTATAGTCGTATTATTTTGAAATTGTAAATTACTTAATTTAAAGAAGTGAAAATTATGTAAGTGGATGCAAAACTCAATTTTCAAAGTTGTATTCTGGAGGATTAAACAAAAGCCAAATTATTAGTAGGATATTCCAGTTCGATTTTATTTTGAATTTCAAATTGATATTATTTGACTATGTTTTATGTATTAAAAAAACGAACTAAAAAAAGTAGTAGCAAAATGATAAGTAATTTTTAAATTTTAATTTCAGATTGAAATTGGGTCTGATTTCTATACAATCCGATTCTTTTAATAAACATGATTTGGTTGCAATTAGGTAAAGATACATGTTATAATATTTTGTCTGATTTGAATTATTCTATTTTATGGTAAACATATTTTTTTTAATAAAAATGAGAGAATTTTGACTTTTATAAAATTGTCATGTCGAATTTTACCTCAATTAACCTGATTTCTATGCAATCCGATTTTTTCTTTATAAACAATTGATGTGGTGCAATTAAGAAAATATATATGTGATAGTATTTTTGCCCAATTTGAGGGTCAATTTGAATTAAAAAACTGGATTATTAAGTGAAAATCACGACATAAAATTGATTTGAATTTAAAATTTTCTATATAATTAGATATTTTTTCACATTAAACATAAAAAATTAACTTACGATACAAAAAAAAAAATACGGATTTTGAAGGAAGGAATTGCACATTAATTTTAGATTGATTTGAATTGAATATATTTTTTCCTAAATAATAGGAGATTTAGTTCCTAAATTAACAACTCATATGGATAGCATTTTTTTAGTGCTCTCGGTGGTTTTTTTTTTTTTTTTTTT